TCGCCACCTAGAAAAAAGAAGCGCAAATATGTGATACTATAGCACCTATATAGTACATGCCACCGACGTAGAAAATTCCCCTACATAAATAGGTTGATTAGCAGATAATCCAGAATCACACCGCGAAAGGCCCACCAAAACACCGCATTATAAATAAAAGTAAAATACACTTCATCATCTATTCATCTCGCCAAACCAAATACTCTCTCGGTTCCAAAATACAAGGTGTGTTAGTTTCTTGAAAAGACAAATTCCTTTAACTTTGAGCACGCTCAGAGCCAAAAATATCAACATCCACAATACTAAATAAATAAAATAGGAAATTTCATTTTATGATGAATCTAATGACGCCGATTTGATATCATGGATATTGACATATTTCTCTGCAAATTTGGTCAAACTTAAAAAGGTTTGACTTTTCAAAAACTAATGCACTTGATATTTTGAGATAGAGGGAGTAAAAAAAATTATGAAAACCAATAACACCAACGGCGCAGCAAAGTGCATCCCCAATCGTTCTATTATATATCATGTATGAGGAAGCTGATGCCTGAGGGTCTCCACTTGACTCGTCATTATCATATCCCAGGCGCCTTGTGCGGGCGGCCATCGTCTGGGGAAGGAGTTGCATTAACAAGTACTCCCTCCGTTCCTAAATATTTGTCTTTCTAAAGATTTTAACAAATGACTACATACGAAACAGAATGAGTGAATCCACACTCTAAAATATGTCTATATACATCCGTATGTCGTAGTTCATTCAAAATCTCTAAAAAGACAAATATTTAGGAACGGAGGGAGTAGATAGTACAGCTCTTTGGATAAGGTTTATGATTCCATCAAGTGATTTAGATCTAGCAAAGCCGCGTCGATGTACTATAATCAACACTTGTGCTCAAACATCGAAGCATGTGGACTCATCACCAGCAATCAGACTAGCAAGGAACTTGAAAATGAGGAGCTAGTTGCACAGTGACACGGCTCTCTTTTCAATTGTGGAGAGATATAGATAGACTCGTTGTTTCCTCGCAACTCATGAGAAGGCATCAGGCCAACACTAATTTTATTCTTTGGAGTCGTCCAACACTAAAAATATTCAGTCCAGGCTGAGAAGCTAGCGAGAACAGCAAGAGAATCGGAGAGTGCTGGATGTCAGACCAGTTCACCGCGTTCAAGCAGCGGATTAAGCGCGTACGTACGGTACGTACCTGGGCCCTGGACGCCGGAGGTTGTTGACTCCGACCTCATGGACTGCTGGACGTCGCTAGGCCCTACGGCCTACGGGTGCCGTGCTGGACCTCTGGACCTGTTTGATCGTTCGTGACGGTATGGAAACGCAGTCGTGTTCGATGGGGGCGCAGGCCGTGCTTCTCGAGATCGAGCGGGAGTACGAGGCGTGGCACGCGGGTCTGATTAAACTGGAGATCTTCTCTTGCAGCTTGCAGGTTGACGGCGAGTCGGTGAAGAATAGCGAGTACTCTCCTGCGGGTCATGATCTTGTCGACTTGTTTGTTGTTTCAAACTGAAAACTGAGTTTGTTCTTTGATGTTTCTAGCTGCATAGTGGAACGCAAGCTACGGGTCTATCACGCACACATAGGACATGTTTTTTTTTACGGGAAATGAACTTTCCATTCATCAGCCACGATGACTACATTCAGACATGACAATGCTAACTATTTCCACAGGGGAGTTACGAAGCCAACAGGCTGTGCGCTGTTGCGAGCGCCCCATACAAGCAAGGGTGTGACTCGCTACATTTGCATGTCTGCTGATTTTAGCTAGACTAATGTTCCTTTCATGAGCCAGAATCCTTCTGATCTCATTGACCTGGTTCGCATACCTCGAGGGCTCAACATCTTTAGATTGCACCATCTTCAACAACTCAGCACAATCCGTCTCCACAACCAACGACAAAGTTGGGCACACATAGGACATGTTTGGCACGAGCGCTATGTCTCTCCTATTGATGCGGCCTACTCTCATCTTGCCTCAGACACTTTGATAATGGGCCAGCTCAATATTGTAGCTTCCCGAAGCAGTTAGGCTTTTATGGACCAGTTCGGACCAGCTTTTATTTTTATATATCTTCTATGTGTTTTCATAGGCTTTCCTTTTTTTTGTTCTTTTTTTTGTTTTGTTCATTTTCTCTTTAGATTTTTTTCTTCATTTTTCAAATACATGCAGACTTTCTTCGAATACACATCGAACATTTTTAGTATACATGTTGAAGATTATTCGAATACACGTTGAATCTTTTTTAACACACATTGAACATTATTCATAAATGCCATGAATATTATTTTTTATATGCAAAATATTTATAAAGTGTTAGGACAGCTTTTTTAGAATTGGATGAAACATTTTTTTAAATTATGTGAACATATACATAGTATATACAAAAAAGTCATGAATATTTTTTGGAAACACGTCAACAATTTCTTTTAAATGCCACGAACATCTTTTGAATGATACGGAACAGTTTATTTAAAATTGCATGGACCTGTTTCAAAATTCTATAAAATTTTATAAAATGCGACAAAAAATTGGGATCACGTGAAATTTGTTTGGTTCAATTATCACGAATTTTTGCTGAATGGTACAGTTTTTTATAATTTGTGTGAACATTTTATTAATGTTGTACAAACATCTGAAAAATTCATGATATTTTTCTGAAAACCTGAAATTTCCTAAATGCCATGATTTGTTTTTGTGAATGGTACGAACATTTTCTAAAAATTACGGGAAAAGGTATTTTGCATTGCACGAACATATTTTAGAAGCAATGAACATTTTTTAAAATTTAAATAAAATATTTCCCCCTTAGTAAATATAAATAAAAGCAAGAAAAAATTTAATAGCAGAGTAGGACGTGTGTAGCGAGCGAGCACTCCTCCCACGCTGGGCCGGCCCCATTTAGGGCATCCCTCGGCCTAGCTTTTTTCGCCTCACTAAAGGCGAGGCAAAGATGTGCCTCGTGTTTGGTTCCTGTTGAGGGTTTCCCAAAGCCTAGCCCGGTGGAGGCTGCGTGAGGGCATGCAGGCTCTGGCAATGTTCTGCACCATATTTGGTTGCCCACAAAATTCCAACCTGCAACATCTTTCTGCAGCGTAAATTGCATCGATCCGGGCATGCATATGAGGAGACAATCGATTTGATGCGGCCTACTCTCATCTTGCATCTGACACTTCGATAATGGGCCAGCTCAATATTGCAGCTTCCCGAAGCAGTTTGGGAAGCTTTTATGGACCAGTTTGGACCAGCTTTTTATTTTTATTTATCTTCTACGTGTTCCCATAGATTTTCCTTTTTTATTTTGTTCTTTTGCTTATTTTCTACATTATATCTTTAGTTTTTTCTTCATTTTTCAAATACATGCAGACTTTCTTCGAATACACATCGAACATTTTCGGTATACATGTTGAAGATTATTTGAATACACGGTGAATATTTTTTAACACACATTGAACATTATTCATAAATGCCCTGAATATTATTTTTAACATGCAAAATATTTTTTGAAGTGTTAGAACAGTTTTTATAATTGGCGGAAACATTTTTTGAAATTATGGGAACATTTTACATAGTATTTACAAAAAAGTCATGAATAGTTGTTTGAAACACGTGAACATTTTTTTAAATGTCACGGACATCTTTTGAATGATACAGAACATATTAATAAAATTTGCATGAACACGTTTCAAAATTATATACACATTTTATAAAATGTCACAAACATTTTTCGGATCACGTGAACATTTTTTGTTTCAGTTGTCGCGGATTTTTGCTGAATGGTATAATTTTTTTTCAAAGTTATGTGAACATTTTATTTATGTTGTACAATCATCTATAAACATAATATTTTTCCAAATACCTCAAATTTCTTAAATGCCATGAACAATTTTTTTGAATGGTACGAATATTTTCTAAAAATTGCGTGAACAAATATTTTACATTGCGTGAACACCTTCTATAAGCACGGACCATTTTTAAAATTTAAATAAAATAGTTTTTTCACTTAGGAAATATAATTAAAAGCAATAAAACAAAAAATCAATAGCGGAATAGGACATGTGCAGCGAGCGAGCACTCCTCCCACGCTGGGCCAGCCCATTTAGGGCATCCCTCGGCCTAGCTTTTTTCGCCTCACTAAAGGCAAGGCAAAGACGTGCCTCGTCCCCCTAAAAGAAAGACGTGCCTCGTGTTTGGTTCCCGTTGAGGGTTTCATGTTTCCCAAAGCCTGGCCCAGTGGAGGCTACGTGAGCATATGTAGGCTCTGGCCATGACCATATTTGGTTGCCCGTAAAATTTCAACCTGCAACCTCTTCCTATAGTGCAAATTGCATTGATCCGGGCATGCATATGAGGAGAAAATTGATTTGAGTGTTTCTTCATAGCCTGTTTGAGGGGTTTTTTTGGTTTCTTGCGGGTATGTTTCTTCGTGCGGCCTATGGAACCAAATAGCACGGATTGGCTTCTCAAAGCCGGCATAGGTAGGACGTAGGTAACCAAACACACCCAAAGTGTTTTAGCATCGCCCATTCTATCGTTCCTTTATTAGTTTTTATATTGTGTCGATTTTTGTCAGGAGAAAACGCTGGCATGTTCACGCCTCTTGCGTTCGTGTCATGGGTTGTACCCCACTGTATTCACTCTAACTTCTTCTATCAATGAATGATACGCAAGCTTTGCGTATTCGCGAAAAAAAAACGCTGGCATGTTTGGTTGCAAAAACTAAAAAAACTTGTATCAGGCACTTCTCTTCAGTTTCGAGAAAGTAAAAAACTGGATAAAAGCATTAGACTTCTATTAATAGAAATGGCATAGCACGCAATCTTACAGTAACCTCCACACGTATACGAATTTACACTTGAATAATCCCCCATTTTGATGGGTTCTAAGTTCTAATTTGTCGATGAGCTAATAAATCTTCTGTACATCATATACTATATATGACGTGCGTCTGGGCGAGCTGAGGGTCTGGACTTTGACATGGCACGATCATGTCCCGGGCGCCTTGGGAGTGTGACGATCGTTAGGGCCTGAACCCGGGTAGTCGGTTGTCTGCAGCGCCATCCTCCCGAACATCTCCTCCACGATCGCGTCGCTCTCCCTCCTGTTGCCCTGCATCATTTTGACATGTTTCAGCAATATGATTGATTGATTACCTAGCAAGAGTTTGATCCGGGAGCAGTACATTGCCTGAACCCAAATACATGTAGTACAGTACTACAGTTCTCTGAATATGGTTTATGATTTCATCAAGTGATTTAGATCTAGCAATGCCGCGTTGATGTACAATAAACTACAATTATGTTGCGCTCAAACACCAAATCACGTGGCCTCTTCACCAAGAATCACACCGTCAGATTACTAAAAAAATGCGGACTTAACTTAATTAGTTGCACAATGACACGGTTTTTTTTTCTTTACTATTCTTTTCTATTCTGAAGAGATATAGATGGACACATCGTTTCCCCCAGACTCATGAGATGGCATCAGGCTGATATACAAAAATATTCAGCACGGGCCGAGAAGCGATCGAGAACAGCAGGTGAACCCAAGCGAGAGGTAAATCTCAAGCAAGCCAACCGTGTTCAAGCAAGCAGTGGATCAAGCACGTACGTACCTCTGCTGAACCACCAGCGCCACGGAACGTCCGAGCCTCCACGGCCATCATCCTGTAGCTCCCTGCATATATCTCATCAAAATCAGCACAGAAACAGTTCACACCTTGGGACGCTTCTTCACCGGAATAAACGGCGGAGAAGGCGATGAGGTTCTTGAGGTGGAAAAAGGGGTTGCTCACTCGTGAAGCGGGCGGCGTGGGAGGAGGCGACGAGGAGGTGCACAACGAGCAGGATCGCCAGCAGACGGCCGGCCGCAGATCTCCACCCCATCACGACGTAGACGTACTCCTCGCTGACCCCGAGCAGCAAGTGCAGCAGTGCCCCCGAGGCTATATAGCCGCGGCTGCTGCGATTGAGTTCGCGCTGACGTGCGTTCCTGCCCTCCAAGAGGAGCTAATCATGGAGAGCACCGCGCTGAGGGTGAGGGTGAGAGAGACGCACGGGAAAGGGAAGTCTTTTTGAACGCACGCACGCACGCCCACCTCGACGCAATTGGCTACCTACCGAACATACGTAGTAGTACTACAGTAGATTTCAATTATGCCTGGGGCTACGAGAGAGATAAGGGCAGGAGAGCGAAAGGTCTCGGGTTAGCTGAGCTAGTAGACGGCCGATAATGGTGGCGTCGCAGCTTGCAGCTGAGTACTACGTAGACGGAAAGGTGAGCTTCCCAATGTCTCGATCTGCGTCTATATCCTCTCGAGTTTGGCAAAAATTTGGGCGATTGTTTGGGTGCTCGTCGCTGTCAGTGTGGTGCGTCACTCACGCGGATAAACAGGCAGGATTCGATCGAGAGGATGGCTGAAAATATAGGCTGGTGGACACTGGGACTGCCCAACCATCTATGATTGATAACCAGGTCAACTCTGCTCATCATGCGATACCAGATTATAGTAATCAAGTTGATGCGAGTTAATTTGCACGAACCGGCAAACTGCTAATGACCTCTAGAACCGCCATGAGTCGTGCTAATTTGCTCTACCGAGTCTGCACAAGAACATCTCTTTCTCTCTGAACTGAAACATGTGGCAAGTGGTTTTGAACATTTTGTTTTCTCCTGATCAACTAACAGGAGTAGATAAATTGCGTCGAATTGTCAATGCCTGCCTCAGGATTGGGATGTGGGCCGGCCATGATTGATTGATTGATTCATGGGAGGGAGCTAGATTCTCCCGTTCATCACAGCAAGGCTGGCAGGGCTAGGCTACTACGTCGGCCTCCGTTCCGTGTAGACAGTAGGTGCATTTATGACATTGAGGTTTTCAAAGTGGATTGGTGGCCTAAGAAAACGAGGATAACAGGTAGGGTGCTGCGCTCTTCTTGAAAACGTCGTTGTGGTTCTTCTCTTTGAGTCCGGGCTCCGGCTGAAGACCTTTGTCCGATGTGGACTCGTCAGCGGCGATGCTCGGAGCCGTTCTCCCTCTTGGGGGTGTTGTCGTGGAGCTTAGGGGTGCTAGGTTGTAGTGTGCTGTGTTTGCCGGATATCTTAGGGTCGGCTGTAAGAGGACAACCTCACCATCTTGTATCGTTTGACGTGTACTTATGTGGTTGTTGCTTTATCTATAAAGCGGGGCGAAAGCCTGTTTCGAGGATAAAAGGCATGGGGTAGCGTTGGGGAATGTATCTAGTGCACCGGTCCATGTGGTGCTCCGGATGCCCGTACGGCATTTACAAATATTATTAAAAAAATAGCACATTCACACAACATCAGTCGACATTGTCGCAAAATTTCAAATCAAAATTCAAAACACTGCTCGAGGTACAAAATCTACAAATTTGACACTAAATACAACATAACATAAATTGGTCTTTAGATTGGACCCATTATGACATTGATGCCAATTTTTTTCTTTTTCTATCTTGTGCAATGTTTTGAATTTTGATATGAAATTTTGTGACTAAGATACATTGATGTTGTGTCAATGTATCAGATTCTTATTAGATTTTCTGAAACACTTTAAAATACGCTACGGTGTCCGATGCAATGGTAGCACCACAAGCACCGTTGCTATAGATACATTCCCAGAAGTGCTGGCCGCTACACGAGAGAGCTCCTGTATGACACCCGTACGCATCAAACAAGGGAGCTTTCGCCCAAGGTCAGCGTAAATGGGTCAGTCCGCTTAGCCTGTCACTGATTTTCTATTTATTCATTTGCTTTTCTAGTCGAGTTTTACACAAATAAAAAACGGTTTTCAAAACTTGCTAAAAATGAACAGCTTATGAAATAAACGTTACTAAAATCGCTCAAGAAAGCACCATAGTCACACGAATTTTGGAAAATGTGAACACTTTTTTGAAATTGCAAAAAAAATTGACTCCTAAATATATTTTGAACTATGGAAAATAATAGAACTTGAACAAAATTTGGAAAACAACAATATTTTTTTAAAACGTAAATATTTTATTTCAAATTTGGATTTTATTTCCATGTTGTGAACAAATTTAATATTCCAAACATTATTTAGTAAAGTGATAGTTTAAAAAATGGTGAATAATTTTTTAGATCATGATTTATTTTTCAAATTGTGAACAAATTTTGAATTCCAAACAATTATTTTTCGTTGTGCACATATCTAAAACAAAAACGTGAACTGTTTTTGGTAGATATGAACAATTTTTTAAATATGTGAACAATTTTTGAATATTGCGAAAGTAACAAGCAATTATGAAAATGTGGAACCAAATTTGAAATCTCGAATATTTTTAGATTTTATAAAGAAACAATCGAAATTCTGTTTTTCTTTCGAAAATTATTAATTTATGAATAAAAGAAAGAGAAAAATGAAAAAAAGAAAAGAAAAGAAAAATAAAAGAACTAAAAATGAAAGAAAAAGAAAAGGAAGAATAGAACCAGGAAAACCCGGGTGCTAACTGGAAAACCCGGGTGCTAACTTAAAGTGGTCCAGCCCGTGTCTCGCCTTATGCTCTCTTCACTTTGGCGAAGCAGAGATAATCGGACGCACACGGTGGCATACAGGTTCTGCCGCTACACGGCATCCTCTGCCGGGAAAATCCTATTGGCCGAGATCTCCTCGTCGGCGCCTTCGGCGCCCGTAACGAGTTTCGGCGCCTACGTGCTTTCTTCATGGGCTGCATTGTTGGAAGCCCACTCGTTCTTTTCTAGCTATTTCATTCTGTTTGACATTGATTCGTGCTTGTTCGCTCGTTAGATGTTGTCGCTGCTTTGTTCTTTGACTTCGCTTGTAGTAAAAATGGCAGCATAGGATTTTTTATTCTTTCTTCTAGGTTGTTGACAAAATTATGTATTGTCTTGTTTCTTTCTTTTCTTATATATTATTGTTTTTTATTTGATTAACAAATAATAAAATAATCTGACGCTAATTTAGATAAAATGGGAGAAATGAACTATAAATGTGTAGTAAATTCTCCAGAAAAGTATTAATTTTCATGAATAAGAAGAAGAAAGTTGATCTTCGAACACAAATTTGCTAGGTCTTATATTACATTGGAGTGGGAACAACACTTTGGCATGTGAGCTAGCATGATGATCGTGTTGAAAAAAAAAGAAATTGAAGAAGTTAGAATAACAAGAAGAAAGTTCATTTTAGCATGGCATAGTTAGTTATAAAAAATAAGACTACGAAAAAACTATTTTTGTTTTACAAAAACCAAGTTTCCATCTCCAGAACTTACTTCAAAACCTTCAAAATTTGGCAGATGGCAACGTTGAACTATTTGAATAGCCGGAATCCCTGTGAATTGAAGAGAAAATAAGAATAGATATCTTGTTGAAACAATTTTAAAATTTTCTATACGTAGGGAATATTTGTATATGATTGCAAATGAATTAGTGGAACAGTAAAATGATTGTATATTACATGTTGCTGCAGAAAAGATTTCACTATTGACAGCTGTACTTGACTGTTGGAGCATCTAGCAATCTCATACATAAGAAACTCTCTTAGAGCCTGTAGATCGTGCTGAGAAAATAGTTGAACCAGGAATAAGGTTCATAAATTCTGAAAAGCCTTCAAAATTTTGAACAGATTTCACAAAAATGAAAAAAGTTCATCAAATATGAAAAAGTTCATTGAGTTTGAAAAGAGTTCATCAAATTTCATAAAAGTTCATGGAATTTGGAGAAATTTCACCAAAATTCGAAAAAAAAGTTCATCAAGTTTGAAAAAAGTTCACTAATTTTGAAGAAAAGTTCATTGAATTTGAAAATAGTTCATCGAAACTTGAAAAAAAGTTCATGGAATTTGAAAAAGTTCATCAAATATGAAAAAGTTCATTGAATTTCAATAAAAATTCAAGAAATTTGAAAAAAAGTTCATCAAGTTTGAAAAATGTTCACCGATTTTGAAAAAAAGTTCATTGAATTTGAAAAAAGTTCATCAAAATTGAAAAAAAGTTCATCAAAGTTGGAAAATAATTCATGGAATTTGAAAAACATTCATCATAATTTGGAAAAAGATCATCGAATTTGAAAAACGGTTCATTGAATTTGAAAAGTTCCTCCAAAATTGAAAAATGCTCATAAATTTTGTAGAAAAAAATCATGAAGAAAACAAGTTTCTCGAATGAGAAAAAAAAGAGAAGAGAGAAGAAAAACGAAAAAGCGAAAAAGCAAAAGCAAAAAGAAATAGAAAAAAGAAAAAGACATAAGAAGAAATAGGGAAGAAGTTTCAATTTAGCACAAAAGGTAAGGGCTATAAGGTGGTTAGCTCAGCGAGTATTCACTTGGAGATCCCTGGTTCAAATCCGACCTAGGGTGTATCTTTTTTGTTTTTATACGAACAGAAAAATAAGAATGGGCCGGCCCAGGTATAATACCAAG